AACGCCCTCTGGTCCAGGCTCGGAGGAGGTTGGGTGGAGGCTTGGTTGCAGGGATTTCTGGCCCATTTTGGCCGCGAAGGAAGGAGTACTCGCGAAACAGGAATACGAAACACCCAGGGGGATTTGAGAGAGTGCGAACTTCGCAAACCAAAATGCAAACCCAATAAAATGTGCCCGCGGGAAAAGGACAAAATCACCTGTGCATCGCCAGCATTCATGCGCGCTAGGGATTGCTGCAACCACCCCTCGCCAGCTCGCGAGCACACCAGCATCAACCACGCTCAGGGCGTGGAACATACGGTTACATAACCAAGTAAGTTCGAACTTTGGCAAGGTGGAGAGCGGTTTGATGTGTTGGAAATACATTCGAACAAATATTGAATGGGTAGGGAGAGGTGGACGTCCACACGTGAGAGTTCGGAACTGTATGTCTCACGCCCATATAGAAACAAGCAAGGAGCACCCTTAATAGCCCAGGCGTAACTCAGACTACGCGCGCTTGTCATTGGACAAGATTGGGACAAGAACAGTATCTACCTAGACGCGCCAGACAGATTCCCGCAGCATAAGTAACCTCGCCATATTGGACAATTCCACCTGGCAGGAGCGTGGCTGAGCGGATAAGGTTAGAAAAGACGCCCGGAAAAGCCGCATCGCAAGTGTGTGCGGCTAGTGTGCGGCGCGGCGTGCCGCAATCGCCGGAGGAACAGAAAAGACGCGCAGCCGTGGGCTTAGCCCACCGGAAGAGGGCGGAGGTGGACCCGCGCCCTAGCTGACACTACATCTAATAAAAGCTTGTAAGCATAAATGCGCTATTAGGGAATGGCAGATGGACGCCGACAGGCCGAGGCGAAACACGAAACTGCGGAGAGGGCAAAGAGAAGACGGGAAGACAGAGAGAGAGAGAGAGAGAGAGAGAGAGAGAGAGAGAGAGAGAGAGAGAGAGAGAGAGAGAGAGAGAGAGAGAGAGAGAGAGAGAGAGAGAGAGAGAGAGAGAATGAGAGAGAGAGAGAGAGAATGAGAGAGAGAGAGAGAGAGAGAGAGAGAGAGAGAAAAACAGAGATCAAGAAAGAGGGAGAGGCCGGCGGAGAGAGGAAAATAGCAGCGCTATCACAGGGGATAGACAGGTGGATAGGGGGAGAGGGCAAGAAGCACGCTGCGATGGAGGAGGAGGAACAGAGGGAGAGGGCGCAGGGACGGGAGGAGGGTCGCAACTGGTATCCACTTGCCGAAAATATAGCTTGGGGTGGGAGGGTTTGCCACCCTATTTACAGCATTGGTTGGGGGGAATAGCCAGGGTCCTCTGCGCTTGGGTTGAGAGGGATGGCCACGCCACATAGAGCCGATGTTGGGCGGGATAGCACGGGCACACAGGACGTGGGGTGAGAAAGGGAGGAATGGTAAACAGGGTGTGGTTGGGGAAGTGGCGCAAGAGTGGACAGGCTAGTGTACTGCGTTTGTAGGACGCGGGACGAGAAAGGGATCAAGGGTGGGTGAGTTCGGGGTGAGTTTGCGATGCATCAATGGTCAATGGGAGCGGGGTGCGAGGGGGGGCAAGTCTACATACGGACCGGTTGGGGAGGTGGTTAGGGAGTGGACAGCGCGCGGGGTGTGGGGAAGCAAGGCTGGATAGGGCGCGGGGTGAGAAGTGAAGGGATGCTGGATAGGGCGTGGGGTGGGAGGGGGAGCAAGGATAGATAGGGCGTGGGATGAGAAGGGACGCAAGGTTGGATATGCCCCTCTGTCCCTGTGCGCTGACCACTCTGACTTCCCTTCTCCCCCCGTGCACTAACCACCCTGGCTTCCCCTCTCCCTCCGGTGCCCTAACCCACCTTGCCGCCCCTCTTTCCCTGTGCGCTAACCACCCTGCTTTCTCGTCTCACCCCTTGCATTAACCCACCTCTCTGCCCCTCTGTCCCTGTGCGCTGACCACTCTGACTTCCCTTCTCCCCCCGTGCACTAACCCATTGTGCCGCCCCTCTGTCCCTGTGCGCTAACCACCCTGTCCTCCCCTCTCCCCCCGGTGCCCTAACCCACCTTGCCACCCCTCTGTCCCTGTGCGCTAACCACCCTGTCCTCCCTTCTCACCCCGTGCCCTAACCCTCGTTGCTGCCCCTCTGTCCCTGTGCGCTGACCACTCTGACTTCCCTTCTCCCCCCGTGCACTAACCCATCGTGCCGCCCCTCTGTCCCTGTGCGCTAACCACCCTGTCCTCCCCTCTCCCCCCAGTGCCCTAACCCACCTTGCCACCCCTCTGTCCCTGTGCGCTAACCACCCTGTCCTCCCTTCTCACCCCGTGCCCTAACCCTCCTTGCTGCCCCTCTGTCCCTGTGCGCTGACCACTCTGACTTCCCTTCGCCCCCCGTGCACTAACCCACCTTGCTACCCCTCTTTCCCTGTGCACTAACCACCCTGGCTTCCCCTCTCCCCCCAGTGCACTAACCCACCCTGCTGCCCCTCTGTCCCTGTTAGCTAACCCTGCCTACCCCTCTCACCCCGTGCTCCAACCCACCTTGCTGCCCCTCTGTCCCTGTGCGCTGACCACTCTGACTTCCCTTCTCCCCCCGTGCACTAACCCACCTTGCCGCCCCTCTGTCCCTGTGCGCTAACCACCCTGTCCTCCCCTCTCACCCCGTGCCCTAACCCTCCTTGCGGCCCCACTGTCCCTGTCCGCTGACCACTCTGACTTCCCCTCTCCCCCCGTGCACTAAGCCATTTTGCCGCCCCTCTGTCCCTGTGCACTAACCACCCTGCTTTCCCGTCTCACCCCATGCACTAACCCACCTTGCTGCCCCTCTGTCCCTGTGCGCTACCCACCCTACCTTCCCCCCTCACCCCATGCCCTTACCCACCTTGCTGACCCTCTCTCCCTGAGCGCTAACCACCCTGGCTTCCCCTCTCCCCCCAGTGCACTAACCCACCCTGCTGCCCCTCTGTCCCTGTTAGCTAACCCTGCCTACCCCTCTCACCCCGTGCTCCAACCCTCCTTGCTGCCCCTCTGTCCCTGTGCGCTGACCACTCTGACTTCCCTTCCCCCCCCGTGCACTAACCCACCTTGCTGCCCCTTTGTCCCTGTGCACTAACCACTGTGCTTTCCCGTCTCACCCCATGCACTAACCCACCTCGCTGCCCCTCTGTCCCTGTGCACTAAACACCCTGGCTTCCCCTCTTCCCCTGGTGCCCTAACCCACCTTGCTGCCCCTCTGTCCCTGTGCGCTAACCACCCTGTCCTCCCCTCTCACCCCGTGCCCTAACCCTCCTTGCTGCCCCTCTGACCCTGTGCGCTAACCACTCTGACTTCCCCTCTCCCTCCGTTGCACTATCCAACATTGCCTCCCCTCTGGCCCTGTGCACTAACCACCCTGTCCTACCCTCTCAGACTTAGGATCTATCCTAACCCGCGTCGTCCATCTCCTCTCGACACATCAGGCAAAGAGTCGTAATCACTACCACCAGATGAACCTTCCCCCTTCGCACCTTCACTTGGATTCGTCATCATCGCATCCATGTTCCCCACTCTTGTCTTAGTTTCCTTGTTTGTTCTCTGCTTCGTTATGGCTTGCAGGTTGTCTCCCCCGTTCACCAGGGTGCTGTTTCTTAAGAACTTAGGATGCTAGGTCCCTAAAGTTAGGACACTAGCTTAGCTAGGATAGGAGCAAGGCCGCCATGGAACGGCGCTAGGAAAAACGGATCTAGGAGTAGGAGGAAAGTCGAGAAGAAAGAGGGTTGGATTAGGAAGAGAAGGGAGTACAAGGAGGGGTTTGTACCCCCTACAGAAAGGTTCAGTAGCAACCTACCAAGCCTATATAAAATTATAACTTATATAATTTTAACACACCCCCTAGGCTTGGTAGTGTCAAGCCCACTCACACCCCCACACCCGCACCCAACCCACCCCCTAACCCCGCACACCCTCAGGCTCGTGCTTAGCCGGGTATCTGACCCTCAGGCAAAGCGTTGACACACCCCCGTACACGAGGCAGCCGACGGCGTCTAGGCGGGTCAGCGACAAGCAGCCGCGGAGCTCTGGCTCAAGGCGGCTGGGTCGCCGACGACAGGCGGCGACTGCCGCGGCTGAGGGCTCTCGGCGATGTGGCAACGTCCGGGCAGAAGACAGCAGCTGCGACAGGAGGAAGGGAAGACGCAGGGGGAAGGGAGAATGGGGGGGGGGGAGGGGGGGGCGGGGCGAGTCTTCAGCGTCGCGCCATAAATGGCGCAGCGCTTACAGGCGGGACGACGGCGTCCTGGCAGGGGGCGACGGGGCCGGGCAGAGGGCGACGGGGCCAGGCAGGGCGCGACGAGGCCCAGGAGGGGCGCAGCCGCGGCGTCGCGCTGACGTCGTCCCGGTCGCGTGTCGAGACGGCCGCGGCAGGACGGCGCAGCCGGCGAAAAGACGACGACGCCACAGCGTGACGCCGCCGCGGCCGCCATGGCAGCGTCGATGCCGCAGCGGGGCGTCGACGCTGCGACTGCAGAACGACGGCCCGACTCCGCAGCAGCGCGTCGGGCCGGTCGCGGCACGACGCGCCCAGTGGCAGTGCGACGTCGCCACTGCAGCAAAACGCGGCCGCCATGGCCGCTGGAGTGAATGAGGGTGAGGAGTAAATGGCGGAAGCGAGAGGAGGCAGTCCAGCAGGAAGGATCTCCTGCTCTGATACCATCTTAAGAACTTAGGATGCTAGGTCCCTAAAGTTAGGACACTAGCTTAGCTAGGATAGGAGCAAGGCCGCCATGGAACGGCGCTAGGAAAAACGGATCTAGGAGTAGGAGGAAAGTCGAGAAGAAAGAGGGTTGGATTAGGAAGAGAAGGGAGTACAAGGAGGGGTTTGTACCCCCTACAGGAAGGTTCAGTAGCAACCTACCAAGCCTATATAAAATTATAACTTATATAATTTTAACACTGTTTTGTCTCGGATTGCTCCCCTCAGCCACCCCTCTCTGGTGGGGGTATCCTATTGCAGCATCTTTTTGAATCCGGGGTGTAATTTTTCAAGAATGCCAGCCAACTAGCTCGGAGCTTTGCTACTCATATTTTGATAGCATGTTACATTCTATGTGTAATACTACAAACCTGCACTGTGCGTGGGGGGTTGTGGGAGAAGATGTGGCTCTCATTTCCCTCCATGCCGATATTGCAAGGCGGGATGCCTCCTGACAGTTTCTCAACTAACCTAGTGAAAGTCATTGGGTTTGGCCGATGGCTCAAAATACACTTTGCTGCATTGCCTAGATCATGCATGTGCCGGTGATAGTCTTTTGTAGTTGCTTTAGGGATGGAATCTGAGCACAAAGGCCCAGTCGTTGCATTCCGCAAAAGAAAGCGTAGCCGAGGGAGTTTATGCTGGGATGCGCCATTGTGCTGGTCCTGGAGCCCGAAACTGGGAGTCGGGTCATGATGATGTGGAGACTAGAAGAGGGGGGGGGGGGGGGGGGGGTGAGGGGGAGGTGGGTGGGTCTTTGTGGGAAACTCGTGTCGCCTTTATCCCATAACCTTTAGTTATCACCCCATACAATGACCCACCTTGCCGCCCCTCTGTCCCTGTGCGCTAACCACCCTGCCTTCCCCTCTCACCCCGTGCTCTAACCCTCCTTGCTGCCCCTCTGTCCCTGTACGCTAACCACTCTGCCTTCCCCTCTCACCCCGTGCAGTAACCCCCCTTGCTGCCCCTCTCTCCCTGTGCACTAACCACCCTGCCTTCCCTTCTCACCCTGTGCAGTAACCCCCTTCCTGCCCCTCTTTCCCTGAGCGCTAACCACCCAGACTTCCCCTCTCCCCCTGGTGCATGCGAGGCAGACAGGGGAGGCAAGGCGGAGAGGGGAGGCGTGGCGGAGAGGGGAGGCGAGGTGGAGAGGGAAGGCAAGGCAGAGAGGGGAGGCAAGGCGTAGAGGGGAGGCGAGGCAGAGAGTGGAGGGGGGGCGAGTCAGAGAGGGGAGGCGAGGCAAAGAGGGGAGGAAAGGCAGAGAGGGGAGGCGTGGCGGAGAGGGGAGGCGAGGCGGAGGGGGAGGCGAGGCAGAGAGGGGAGGCGAGGCGGAGTGGGGAGGTGAGGCAGAAAGGGGAGGGTGGTTAGCGTACAGGGACAGAGGGGAAGCAAGGAGGGCTAGTGCATGGGGCGAGAGGGGACGGCAGGGTGGTTAGCGCACAGGGACAGAGGGCCTCTCCGCCTCGCCTCCCCTCTCCGCCTCGCCTCCCCTCTCTGCCTCGCCTCCCCTCTCTGCCTTGCCTCTCCTCTACGCCTCACCTCCCCTCTCCGCCACGCCTCCCCTCTCTGTCTCGCCTCCCCTCTACGCCTCGCCTCCCCTCTCTGCCTTGCCTGCCCTCTCCGCCTCGCCTCCCCTCTCCGCCTCGCCTCCCCTCTCCGCCTCGCCTCCCCCCTCTGCCTCGCCTCCCCCCTCTGCTTGCCTCCCCTCTCTGATTCGCCCCCCCTCTCTGCCTCGCCTCCCCTCTCCGCCACGCCTCCCCTCTCTGCCTCGCCTCCCCTCCCCACCTCGCCACCCCTCTCCGCCACGCCTCCCCCTTCTGCCTCGCCTCCCCTCTCAGCCACACCTCCCCTCTCCGCCTCGCCTCCCTCTCCGCCACACCTCCCCTCTCCGCCTCGCCTCCCCTCTCAGCCTCGCCTCCCCTCTCAGCCTCGCCTCCCCTCTCCGCCTCGCCTCCCCCCTCTGCCTCGCCTCCCCCCTCTGCTTGCCTCCCCTCTCTGACTCGCCCCCCCTCTCTGCCTCGCCTCCCCTCTCTGCCTCGCCCCCCCTCTCTGCCTCGCCTCTCCTCTCTGCCTCGCCTCCCCTCCCCACCTCGCCACCCCTCTCCGCCACGCCTCCCCCTTCTGCCTCGCCTCCCCTCTCCGCCACACCTCCCCTCTCCGCCTCGCCTCCCCTCTCAGCCTCGCCTCCCCTCTCAGCCTCGCCTCCCCTCTCCGCCTCGCCTCCCCCCTCTGCCTCGCCTCCCCCTCTGCTTGCCTCCCCTCTCTGATTCGCCCCCCTCTCTGCCTCGCCTCCCCTCTCCGCCACGCCTCCCCTCTCTGCCTCGCCTCCCCTCCCCACCTCGCCACCCCTCTCCGCCACGCCTCCCCCTTCTGCCTCGCCTCCCCTCTCAGTCACACCTCCCCTCTCCGCCTCGCCTCCCCTCTCCGCCACACCTCCCCTCTCCGCCTCGCCTCCCCTCTCAGCCTCGCCTCCCCTCTCAGCCTCGCCTCCCCTCTCCGCCTCGCCTCCCCCCTCTGCCTCGCCTCCCCCCTCTGCTTGCCTCCCCTCTCTGACTCGCCCCCCCTCTCTGCCTCGCCTCCCCTCTCTGCCTCGCCCCCCCTCTCTGCCTCGCCTCTCCTCTCTGCCTCGCCTCCCCTCCCCACCTCGCCACCCCTCTCCGCCACGCCTCCCCCTTCTGCCTCGCCTCCCCTCTCCGCCACACCTCCCCTCTCCGCCTCGCCTCCCCTCTCAGCCTCGCCTCCCCTCTCAGCCTCGCCTCCCCTCTCCGCCTCGCCTCCCCCCTCTGCCTCGCCTCCCCCTCTGCTTGCCTCCCCTCTCTGATTCGCCCCCCCTCTCTGCCTCGCCTCCCCTCTCCGCCATGCTCCCCTCTCTGCCTCGCCTCCCCTCCCCACCTCGCCACCCCTCTCCGCCACGCCTCCCCCTTCTGCCTCGCCTCCCCTCTCAGCCACACCTCCCCTCTCCGCCTCGCCTCCCCTCTCCGCCACACCTCCCCTCTCCGCCTCGCCTCCCCTCTCAGCCTCGCCTCCCCTCTCAGCCTCGCCTCCCCTCTCCGCCTCGCCTCCCCCCTCTGCCTCGCCTCCCCCCTCTGCTTGCCTCCCCTCTCTGACTCGCCCCCCCTCTCTGCCTCGCCTCCCCTCTCTGCCTCGCCCCCCCTCTCTGCCTCGCCTCTCCTCTCTGCCTCGCCTCCCCTCCCCACCTCGCCACCCCTCTCCGCCACGCCTCCCCCTTCTGCCTCGCCTCCCCTCTCCGCCACACCTCCCCTCTCCGCCTCGCCTCCCCTCTCAGCCTCGCCTCCCCTCTCAGCCTCGCCTCCCCTCTCCGCCTCGCCTCCCCCCTCTGCCTCGCCTCCCCCCTCTGCTTGCCTCCCCTCTCTGACTCGCCCCCCCTCTCTGCCTCGCCTCCCCTCTCAGCCTCGCCTCCCCTCTCCGCCTCGCCTCCCCCTCTGCCTCGCCTCCCCCCTCTGCTTGCCTCCCCTCTCTGACTCGCCCCCCCTCTCTGCCTCGCCTCTCCTCTCTGCCTCGCCTCCCCTCCCCACCTCGCCACCCCTCTCCGCCACGCCTCCCCCTTCTGCCTCGCCTCCCCTCTCCGCCACACCTCCCCTCTCCGCCTCGCCTCCCCTCTCAGCCTCGCCTCCCCTCTCAGCCTCGCCTCCCCTCTCCGCCTCGCCTCCCCCCTCTGCCTCGCCTCCCCCCTCTGCTTGCCTCCCCTCTCTGACTCGCCCCCCCTCTCTGCCTCGCCTCCCCTCTCCGCCACGCCTCCCCTCTACGCCTCGCCTCCCCTCCCCACCTCGCCACCCCTCTCCGCCACGCCTCCCCCTTCTGCCTCGCCTCCCCTCTCAGCCTCGCCTCCCCTCTCCGCCTCGCCTCCCCTCTCTGCCACGCTTCTTATCCCGCGTGGCTCCCCCTCCCACTTCGCTTCGTATGTTGCATTGCTCCCCTTCTCAACCCGCCTCCTATCTCGCGGTGCTTCCCCTCATCCCCCCTCGCCGCTCTCCTCTCTTTAGGCGCCTCTCTCCTCTCCCGCCACCTCTCTCCTCCCGCGTCTCCTGTCTCACCTCCCGCCATCTCTCTCCTCCCTCCTCGCCTTTATCCCCTCTCCTCGCCTACCTCCTCTCGCGCCGCCGCTTTCAGCCATGTCTAGCCCGTGCCTTTCGCGTGTTGCTCACTTCTCTCGCCATGCCTCTACCATACGCCTCGCTCCTCTCCTCTCGCGTCGTCTCTCCCCTGTCTCGTCGCCGCTCTCGTCTCGCCTAGCCTCTATCCTTGCCTAGCCTCTGTCCTCCCGCGTCGACTGTCTCCTCACGCATCGCCTGTCCTCTCGCCTTACCTCTCTCTTCTCACCACGTGTCGCTATTTCCTCTGGCGTCGCCTCTCGAATTTCGATCCGCCCATCTCCTCTTGCGTCGCCTCTGTCCTCCCGCGTCGAATGTCTCCTCACGCCTTACTTCTCTCCTCTCAGCTCACATCTCTCCCCTCGCCTCGTCTCACTCTATCCTACCGCGAGGCCTCTCTCTTATCGAGTCGCTACATTCCTTCGCGTCCCCTCTCTCCTACCGCAAAGCCTCTCCTATCGCGTCGCCTCTCCTCCAGCGAGAGCCGCTCGCCTCTTGCCTTGTCATTATCCTCTCGCATCACCCTAAACCCTATTCTGATGCCTCACTTGCGACAGAGTCAATTCATCACGTGAGACTTGTCTTGGCTTTTTCGTCCATATCTGGAAGTACGCGCTTTGCTCCTAACTCCCCGACATAAATGGGTGGACCTTGTGGGATCTGTCTACCTCCTCGTCCCAAATTACCATCAAACTGGGCCCACGCTATTTCCGTCCCTGGCTGGCTGGTTTGTCAGGGGAGGTGGCATGTTCTTGTGCGAAAAGGGGTGGTTAGCCCCTCGGCATTTTCCCGGTCTGGGTGAGGGTGGATTGGGTTACCAACCCGAACCACATCAAACTGGGCCCAGTTTGATGGTCAACCTTGCTAATTTGGGACCTGGGCTTTAATCAAATTCCTCGTTGTGGGGCCGTGGAAGATCTTGCGGAGGAGGCCCTGGTTGCCCTGGAAGCTCTTGCGTGGGAAGCACATGATAGGAAGTTCCGCCCGTTCCGCCAGTTCCGCCAGTTCCGCCAGCCAGGGAATCTGCGCAACCAGGGAAGTGGAGGCTGCTGGGTGCTCATGGGGAAGAAACACAAGAGGCTCTGTAGTGCGTTGTAGTGGATCTACAAAACGGTTCTTTATGGTGCTACACTTTTCATTTTCAGCTTGTTGCCTCGGGACTCCACTCCACACTCGCCTTGGCAATGGCTGACAAGGCTGCGATCTACGGCTTGTGTTGTCAGACCAGTTTACGAGCTAACCAAGCGAACCTACAGAGCATTGACTCCAGCGATCAGACTAGGTTGCATTTCGCGGCTTGTTTTGTCGGACCTGACCTGTCACGATTCATGAATCATGACTGACGAGAACTAGTGACACATGAAATCAGGCATGGACTCCGCCTTACTGTAGGAGTTAAGAGTAATTGGTAGGGAGCGACTGACAAGTATCACTGACACATACGCGACGCGACAGAGGCGCCTAGGCTGTGTGACGCTGACTGTTGTCTCGTCGAACGGAGTCGTGCTGTTCTTGACCGCCGCAACGACCCTGGCCTGGAGCGCAGTGCATCTAATTCAAAGCCCAGAGCACACATTTTCTCGCACTCGCCTCTGACGTTCGCTTTGGTTTGCGGTTTCCTAGGAGTGGGCCTGCCCTTTTTTTCGTTCTCACGTATGCACAGTAGCTCGCAGTCAATCGCGTAGAAACTTCAAACTGTCATACCTTCAAGACTAGTACACTCCGAAGTCGGAGACGCGGGCTTTAATCAGTCATTCATTCTCTTCATCGCGAGCCTTCTTATAGGACTTCCGGCGTCGACGCATCACGGCTCCTCAGAACCGAGTATTTCTAGTTCCGAACCGTTTCGTAGCGCTGTTCACTCCGGCTAGGTTATCGAACACTCGAAGCACGACCGATCAAAGCGAACCCATCGTCCACTCGGCTAGGGTTCCTAGCCCTCAAAGCGATATTTATCATTAATTCCTCCCAGCTAGGGTTTCCACGAGCAGCCGCGGCTGGTTCGGTGCCAGGCTCCTTTGGGACCAATCATATCGAGCCACGTCAGCCAGTAATGGACGGGTCAAGCCCAGAAGCGGGGAGACCGCAGCAGCAGCAGCAGGAAGAGACCTTTTCCCCGCTTTTGTCGCCGCTTTCGCAGCGAGCGGGCGACGGCGTCGCACGGCCGCCGCTACTCCCGCAGGCGATTTCGTTGCGACGGGCGATCGAGGAGAGCGCGAGAGACGATGAGGAGCATCCGTGGCTGGAAAGCAGCTTTCGCGACGACCGCGCCGCAAATGCTGCCGCGAATGGCGCGTCGGGCACCACGTCAGCAACGGCGGAAGAGGCGGATCCGACGGAGCTGAACAGCGTGCCCGACGACTGCCTGATCCTGATTTTCCGGAAGCTGTCGTCGGCTGATCTGAACCGTTGCTCTCTCGTGTGCCAACGGTGGAAGGAGTAAGACGAGAGGGGGGAGTGGGGAGAGAGGGGAGAGTTAGGGGAGAGAAGAGGGGAGAATGAGGAGAGGGGAGAGGGGAGAGTGAGGAGAGGGGAGAGTGAGGAGAGGGGAGAGTGAGAAGAGGGGAGAGGAAGAGAAGGAGGGGCGAAGCGAGGTAACGTCGACTCCTGATCGCCAAGTGTCTGTCTCTCTCGTTATGTGCTTGCGACAGGTGCTCGCAACGTTGAACTGGTTCTCGGACCCCCGTTTCCCCTCTTGTTCCCTGTCATCTCCCCGTGTTCCCTGTCATCTCCCCGTGTTCCCTGTCATCTCCCCGTGTTCCCTGTCATCTCCCCGTGTTCCCTGTCATCTCCCCGTGTTCCCTGTCATCTCCCCGTGTTCCCTGTCATCTCCCCGTGTTCCCTGTCATCTCCCCGTGTTCCCTGTCATCTCCCCGTGTTCCCTGTCATCTCCCCGTGTTCCCTGTCATCTCCCCGTGTTCCCTGTCATCTCCCCGTGTTCCCTGTCATCTCCCCGTGTTCCCTGTCATCTCCCCGTGTTCCCTGTCATCTCCCCGTTTCCCTGTCATCTCCCCGTGTTCCCTGTCATCTCCCCGTGTTCCCTGTCATCTCCCCGTGTTCACTTTCATCTCCCCGTGTCCTTCCCCCTCTCCCGTCTTTCTTCCCTCCTTTTCACTTTCCCCTCTCCTCCCGCCCGCTTCCCCTCTCCCCTCCCTTCTTCCCCTCTCCCCCCGTCTTCTTCCCGCTCCCCGCCCGCCTTCTTCCCCCTATCTCCCCGCCTTCCTCCCCCGCTCCCCCTGCCTTCCTCCCCCATTCCCCCTGCCGTCTTCCCCCTCTCCGCCCGCCTTCCTCCCCCTCTCTCCCTGTCTTCCTCGCCCTCTCCCCTCCCTTCTTACCCCTTTCCCCACAGCCTGGACGCCTCTTCTCGCTCGCGCATGGCCCTCCGCGCGTCCTTCCACCTCTCCCCCTTCCTCCCCTCGCTGCTGCTCCGCTTCTCCGCCCTCCAGCGCCTCACGCTGCGCTGCGAGCAGCCCCCCCCCGCGCTCCTCGCCCCGGGGGGCGGAGGGGGGAGCAGCAGCGCGGGGGGGGGGGGGGGGGAGGGGGCGGGGGTGGGGGAGGTGGGGGGATGGAGTATCAATACCAGTATCAGTATCAGCAGACGCAGCAGATGGGGGGAGCGGGGTACGGTGGGGGGTATGTGAGTGGGGCGCGGGGCAGGCAGGCGAGTGCGGTGAGGAGCATCGGGGACTCCAGCCTTGAGTTCATTGCCCGCACCCTGCCTCGCCTCAAGAAGCTGGACCTGCGGAACTGCCTGGAGGTGCGTTTATTCCACATTAAAAAAAAAAAAAAAAAAAAAAAAAAAAAAACCCAAGCACAAGGTAAGCAAGGTGACCGTAGTTGAGGACCTGCCTGCTCAAAGGCATGACACTTGATGACCTGCGGGCAGCGGAGCGGAGCTGACTGGGGTGGGCTAAAAGGAGTGTGGTGAGGGACGTCGGGGCCTCGAGCCTCGGGCCCCTCGCTTGTTCCATCCCTCGCCTCAAGAGGCTAGACCTCTGGAGGTGCGTGTTGATGGTGTTAGGGGAGGAGCTGCCAGGAGGTGCGTGCATGTGATGTGAGGAACTGATGGGAGTGGGCAGAAAGGCGTGAGAGGAGCGTCAGGACTCGAGGCTCGAGCTCGTGGCTTGTTCCATCCCCGGCTCAAAAGGCTGGATCTGCGGACCTGCGTGGAGGTAATTCAGAGGGTAGCATAGCAGGCCTGTATGTTCACCAAGGCGTTGTGGGTGTATCAACAAGTGTGGAGTGGAAGGCTCGCGTCTGGAGCTGTCTGCGTGCTCCCTGCCGCACGTCAAGAGGCTGGACTTGCGCAGCTGCCTGGAGGTGCGCGCGCCCGGGTGATGTGATGTGAGGTACTGATGGAAGACTTCACGATTGCAAGGTGCAATAGGAGGGTTCTGGGGAGTAATGGGGGGTTCATTCCAGCTGGGCCTCGTTGCTGGCGCGTGCCAGCACGAGTTTGTGGCTGACAACTTCCAGTTGGATGGATGGGATGGTCACCTGCTCGTGCCGTTTTTATCCCTCCCTTCCTGCCTGCTATCCGCTGCCACCAGGTGACAGACGCTCGCACGCATCGAGGTGCACAGGGCTGCACGAGTCTGTGGCTCACAACTTCCGCTCTCCAGGTGACGGATGCGAGCATGGAGGCGGTGGCGCGCACAGGGCTGCACAGGTTCGTCCTTCACCCTCCTTCCTTCCCCTGCCCCCTTCCGCTTCACCCTCCTGCCGCTTCACCCTCCTCCCCTTGCCCCCTACCCACAGGCTACAGTAGTGCGCACACATGGGGCAGCACAAGCTGGTGGCTGACAGCTTGGGGTTTGAAAGGATAGTCACCTTCCCCTGCGCCCCCACCTCGCCCTCCTCCAGGTGACGGACGCGGGCATGGAGGTGGTGGCGCGCACATGCACGGGGCTGCACAAGTTCGTGGCTGACAACTTCCGCTTTGGCCCCGAGGGCATTGCAGCGCTGCTGCTGCACTGCACTGAGCTGGACGACTTGACGCTCGTGCACAGGTGCATCCTCAGTTGACCCCCTTGCTGCCTTGATACCACCACGAATTGCTCACATGGTTGACCTGGCCCCAAAGGCATTGCGGTGCTGCTGCTGCACCGCACTGTGCTGGACGACCTCACCGCATGCCCCCTTCGCCCACCGCATGCCCCCTTCCCCCACCGCATGCCCCCTTCGCCCACCGCATGCCCCCTTCGCCCACCGCATGCCTCCTTCCCCCACCGCATGCCCCCTTCACCCACCGCATGCCCCCTTTCCCCACCGCATGCCCACTTCGCCCACCGCATGCCCCCTTCCCCCACCGCATGCCCCCTTCCCCCACCGCATGCCCCCTTCCCCCACCGCATGCCCCCTTCGCCCACCCCATGCCCCCTTCGCCCACCACATGCCCCCTTCCCCCACCGCATGCCCCCTTCGCCCACCGCATGCCCCCTTCGCCCACTGCATGCCCCCTTCCCCCACCGCATGCCCCCTTCCCCCACCGCATGCCCCCTTCTCCCACCGCATGCCCCCTTCCCCCACCGCATGCCCCTTCCCCCACCGCATGCCCCCTTCGGCCACCGCATGCCCCCTTTCCCCACGGCATGCCCCCTTCCCCCACCGCATGCCCCCTTCGCCCACGGTATGCCCCCTTCGCCCACCGCATGCCCCCTTCCTCCACCGCATGCCCCCTTCGCCCACCGCATGCCCCTTTCTCCCACCGCATGCCCCCTTCGCCCACCGCATGCCCCCTTCACCCACCGCATGCCCCCTTTCCCCACCGCATGCCCCCTTCCCCCACGGCATGCCCCCTTCGCCCACCGCATGCCCCCTTCCCCCACCGCATGCCCCCTTTCCCCACCACATGCCCTCTTCGCCCACCGAATGCCCCCTTCGCCCACCGCATGCCCCCTTTCCCCACCGCTTGCCCCCTTCCCCCACCGCATGCCCCCTTCGCCTACGACATGCCCCCTTCGCCCACCGCATGCCCCCTTTCCTCCACCGCATGCCCCCTTCGCCCATCGCATGCCCCCTTCCCCCACCGCATGCCCCCTTCCCCCACTGCATGCCCCCTTCGCCCATCGCATGCCCCCTTCGCCCACCGCATGCCCCCTTCCCCCACCGCATGCCCCCTTTCCCCACCACATGCCCTCTTCGCCCACCGCATGCCCCCTTCGCCCACCGCATGCCCCTTCCCCCAACGCATGCCCCCTTCGCCCACTGCATGCCCCCTTCCCCCACGGCATGCCCCCTTCGCCCACCGCATGCCCCCTTCCCCACCGCATGCCCCTTCCCCCACCGCATGCCCCTTCCTCCACGGCATGCCCCCTTCGCCCACTGCATGCCCCCTTCCTCCATCGCATGCCCCCTTCGCCAATCGCATGCCCCCTTCCCCCACCGCATGCCCCCTTCCCCCACTGCAAGCCCCCTTCGCCCATCGCATGCCCCCTTCGCCCACCGCATGCCCCTTTCCCCCACCGCATGCCCCCTTTCCCCACCACATGCCCTCTTCGCCCACCGCATGCCCCCTTCGCCCACCGCATGCCCCCTTCCCCCACCGCATGCCCCCTTCGCCCACTGCATGCCCCCTTCCCCCACGGCATGCCCCCTTCGCCCACCGCATGCCCCTTCCCCACCGCATGCCCCCTTCCCCCACCACATGCCCCCTTCCTCCACGGCATGCCCCCTTCGCCCACTGCATGCCCCCTTCGCCCATCGCATGCCCCCTTCGCCCACCGCATGCCCCCTTTCCCCACCGCATGCCCCCTTCCCCCACGGCATGCCCCCTTCGCCCACCGCATGCACCCTTCCCCACCGCATGCCCCCTTTCCCCACCGCATGCCCCCTTCCCCCACCGCATGCCCCCTTCGCCCACTGCATGCTCCCTCACAGCATGCCCCCTTCCCCACCGCATGCCCCCTTCCCCACGCATGCCCCCCCCACCACATGCCCCCTTCCCCCACCGCATGCTCCCTTCGCCCACCGCATGCCCCCTTCGCCACCGCATGCCCCCTTCCCCCACCGCATGCCCCCTTCGCCCACCGCATGCCCCCTTCGCCCACCGCATGCCCCCTTCTCCCACCGCATGCCCCCTTCCCCCATGGCATGCCCCCTTCCCCCACCGCATGCCCCCTTCCCCCACGCATGCCCCCTTCGGCCACCGCATGCCCCCTTTCCCCACCGCATGCCCCCTTCCCCCACCGCATGCCCCCTTCGCCCACGGTATGCCCCCTTCGCCCACCGCATGCCCCCTTCTTCCACCGCATACCCCTTCGCCCACCGCATGCCCCTTTCTCCCACCGCATGCCCCCTTCGCCCACCGCATGCCCCCTTCACCCACCGCATGCCCCCTTTCCCCACCGCATGCCCCCTTCCCCCACGGCATGCCCCCTTCGCCCACCGCATGCCCCCTTCCCCCACCGCATGCCCCCTTTCCCCACCACATGCCCTCTTCGCCCACCGCATGCCCCCTTCGCCCACTGCATGCCCCCTTCCCCCACGCATGCCCCCTTCGCCCACCGCATGCCCCCTTCCCCACCGCATGCCCCTTCCCCACCGCATGCCCCCTTCCTCCACGGCATGCCCCCTTCGCCCACTGCATGCCCCCTTCGCCCATCGCATGCCCCCTTCGCCTACCGCATGCCCCCTTTCCCCACCGCATGCCCCCTTCCCCCACGGCATGCCCCCTTCGCCCACCGCATGCACCCTTCCCCCACCGCATGCCCTTTCCCCACCGCATGCCCCCTTCCCCCACCGCATGCCCCTTCGCCCACTGCATGCTCCCTCACAGCATGCCCCCTTCCCCCACCGCATGCCCCCTTCCCCACCGCATGCCCCTTCCCCCACCACATGCCCCCTTCCCCCACCGCATGCTCCCTTCGCCCACCGCATGCCCCCTTCGCCCACCGCATGCCCCCTTCCCCCACCGCATGCCCCCCCCCCTTCGCCCACCGCATGCCCCCTTCGCCCACCGCATGCCCCCTCCCACGCATGCCCCCTTCCCCACCGCATGCCCCCTTCCCCCACCGCATGCCCCCTTCCCCCACCGCATGCCCCCTTCGCCCACCGCATGCCCCTTCCCCACCGCATGCCCCCTTCGCCCACCCATGCCCCCTTCGCCCACCGCATGCCCCCTTCGCCCACCCATGCCCCCTTCGCCCACCGCATGCCCCTTCGCCCACCGCATGCCCCCTTCCCCACCGCATGCCCCCTTCGCCCACCGCATGCCCCCTTTCGCCCACCGCATGCCCCCTTCCCCCACCATGCCCCTTCGCCCACCGCATGCCCCCTTCTCCCACCATGCCCCCTTCCCCACGCATGCCCCCTTCGCCCACCATGCCCCTTCCCCCACCGCATGCCCCCTTCGCCCACGCATGCCCCTTCGCCCACCGCATGCCCCTTCGCCCACCCATGCCCCTTCCCCACGCATGCCCCCTTCGCCCACCGCATGCCCCCTTCGCCCACCGCATGCCCCTTCCCCCACCGCATGCCCCCTTCCCCCACGGCATGCCCCCTTCTCCCACCGCATACCCCTTCCCCCACCGCATGCCCCCTTCCCCCACCGCATGCCCCTTCGCCCACCGCATGCCCCTTTCCCCACCGCATGCCCCCTTCCCCACCGCATGCCCCCTTCCCCACCGCATGCCCCCTTCGCCCATCGCATGCCCCCTTCGCCCACCGCATGCTCCCTTCGCCCACCGCATGCCCCTTTCCCCACCGCATGCCCCCTTCCCCCACCGCATGCCCCTTCGCCCACCGCATGCCCCTTCCCCCACCACATGCCCCCTTTCCCCACCACATGCCCTCTTCGCCCACCGCTTTCCCCCTTCGCCCACCGCATGCCCCCTTTCCCCACCGCTTGCCCCCTTCCCCCACTGCATGCCCCCTTCGCCTTCGGCATGCCCCTTCGCCCACCGCATGCCCCTTTCCTCCACCGCATGCCCCCTTCGCCCATCGCATGCCCCCTTCCCCCACCGCATGCCCCCTTCCCCCACTGCATGCCCCCTTCGCCATCGCATGCCCCTCGCCCACCGCATGCCCCCTTCCCCCACCGCATGCCCCCTTTCCCCACCACATGCCCTCTTCGCCCACTGCATACCCCCTTCGCCCACCGCATGCCCCCTTCCCCCACCGCATGCCCCCTTCGCCCACTGCATGCCCCCTTCCCCCACGGCATACCCCCTTCGCCCACCGCATGCCCCTTCCCCCACCGCATGCCCCCTTCCCCGCCGCATGCCCCCTTCCTCCACGGCATGCCCCCTTCGCCCACTGCATGCCCCCTTCCTCCAGCGCATGCCCCCTTCGCCCATCGCATGCCCCCTTCGCCCACCGCATGCCCCTTCGCCCATCGCATGCCCCCTTCGCCCACCGCATGCACCCTTCCCCCACCGCATGCCCCCTTTCCCCACCGCATGCCCCCTTCCCCCACCGCATGCCCCCTTCCCCCACTGCATGCCCCCTTCGCCCATCGCATGCCCCCTTGCCCACCGCATGCCCCCTTCCCCCACCGCATGCCCCCTTTCCCCACCACATGCCCTCTTCGCCCACCGCATGCCCCCTTCGCCCACCGCATGCCCCCTTCCCCCCAGCGCATGCCCCCTTCGCCCACTGCATGCCCCCTTCCCCACCGCATGCCCCCTTCGCCCACCGCATGCCCCTTCCCCACCGCATGCCCCTTCCCCCACCGCATGCCCCCTTCCTCCACGGCATGCCCCCTTCGCCCACTGCATGCCCCCTTCCTCCATCGCATGCCCCCTTCGCCCATCGCATGCCCCCTTCGCCCACCGCATGCCCCCTTTCCCCACCGCATGCCCCCTTCCCCCAAGGCATGCCCCCTTCGCCCACCGCATGCCCCCTTCGCCCACCGCATGCCCCCTTCCCCACCGCATCCCCCTTTCCCCACCGCATGCCCCCTTCCCCCACCGCATGCCCCCTTCGCCACCGCATGCCCCCTTTCCCCACCGCATGCCCCCTTCGCCCACCGCATGCCCCCTTCCCCCACGGCATGCCTTCTTCGCCCACC